GCGGTGCTCAAGGCGCTAGTCAAATTCAGCAGTCAAGCTCAGACATTCTGGCAAGCGAAGGAGTTAAGTAATCTGATGAAGGTAAGTGGGCCAATATCGCCACTCAGGCATAGAAAAAAAAAAAGAGATTTGGAATGCTAATGGGGTGTCAGACGATTACGGTGCGCGAAGCGAAGCGCGCTAACGTTATCTACCGGCCGCATGGAGTACGAGCAATGGGCGAGATCGCACAGGCACGCAAGGATCTCAATTTCATGGGCGACGCACTCAAGATCATACCGCCTGTAATCGAAGAAATGGTGGATGAGGACCATATGGAGATCGACTCGAAGAATGGAACCCAGGATGACACCCTTGCGGCGTGTGTCCAATGCCTGCTGCAATGTTTCAACCCCACCGCCGGTTCGGGTCAAGGTCAGTCCCCTGAACCCCCTAGCGTCATGCCATGCTAAGCCTAACCACAGTGTTGGGAGAGTACGTGGAACAGATGACCGGTCTGCTGGACCAGGTCTTCCAACACGGTGGACGACAGGTCATCAGCACGGGCTACGAGGAGCTCCGGGCGTTTTTTACGCGAGTGGATCCGTGGATCTCGGAGTCATCCGGTGAGATATCCTTGACTGCTCTTGCTAATCTCCTCACGGGGGAGTTGGATGGGTCTGTCGAATCCATCCGCAAGGGTCGTGCAGAGGCCATTCTGGCGTACCTGAAACTGCCTACCCAAGGTGTGCCTGACACGCTTCCGGCCGAGCTCCGGGGGTGGAGGGCCAGCGAACGATCTGGAGGAGTACAACGTGTGCTGGATGAGGCCCTGGCACTCCTAGGCTAACCACGTGGCTGATCGACGGAGTGACCATCCATGAATCATTGAAGGGGCAGATTGCGCTCTCACGAACGATTCGATTCAATCGAACCAATCAGCTATGGGGAACTAGATCGAAACGGTCGAACTAGGGATTACATGTCTAATTTGCTTTTTTCCTGTTTTTTATTTTCTCTATCCATTCAGGTGTGCAGAATCCGCGAGCCTAAAGCGAATAGTGTCTACGCCACTCGCTTAATACTCGGCCATGTCCGTATAAGAGAATGCGGGTGTGATCCCTTCGATTCCCTCAATTCCTGTCGATCCAGACGGGGCCGGGCCGATCGAGACCATTGTACTTGTTTTTTCGTGTTTTTCTTCCTTTCTTCCCCAGAAACATTTCCCTTCGGCTCCGATACAGGTCTTCTCTTCTCCAATCCAACTTTTTTCTCCTACGTGGCTTCAGCCAGCCCAGACTTTCGAGGGGATTGTCCTTAGCGTCCTCGTAATTGTAATTATAGATCTTTTCCACATGGTTGGCACCTGCATGCCATCCCCTCTCTCCTCCCTCTCACTCTTGTCGCTCCCCTTTTGGATCTGACCTGTTTCTCTTTCTCTCCATTTCGCATCCGAGATTCTTTAGATTCCCCGCCACCCGTCAAGCCAGGAAAAAGAAGGCTGCGCCATCCCTCGAACCATGCACTTTCTATGCAGCTTTTACATTTTTCTGCTCGTGATGTGAACATACATAAACTCCTCTCCGCAGTTTTTTTTTCCCTTTAACTCTTTCCCCACTCTGATTCATCTATATCATTCTTTTGCCTCCTTACATTCTTTTTCATTAATTCCTAGTTCTCTCTCTCTTTCTCTTCCCCAGATCCCCATATTTTTATCGCCACCCGTAAGTGTTGCAATCTCACCCGTCTGTACACCACTGATCCCTGATAGTACCCCCCTCCCCCCAGGCAACCCGGTCAGCCTTATGACGGTCACCAGTCTGGTGATGCAAAACCGTCGGAGCAAAGTCTCTGGAAAGCCACCCCTGCGACTTCCTATCATCGCCCCCAAGGAAGATTTGTTTGCAGATGCCTTTAGTAAGGCCGACAAGGGTCTGATCGCGCCACCACGTATCCGCCTGCCTCCGCGGTCTCGGACGGGTTGCTGGTAAGCCAATTGACTCCGTATTAGTGACCCCTGGCTAATTGATCCTAGGACATGTCGAGTAAGTGATTCTTTTGCGGAAAACAAGAGGCAGTTTGTTAATTTGGAATTTTTGTTGTGTGTAGAGCCGAAAGGGTGAGTGGCTCATTTCTCGTCCCATTTGGGACTCCGCTGACATTCTTCTAGTCAAATGTGATGAAGGACACCCGCAATGTAATGTATGCATTCCTCGGGCTCCTTGCGATCCACAATTACTCACAGACTCTTAGCAATGTACTCGTCTGGGCCATACGTGCGATTACCGCCCACGATTGGCGTTTCGCGATGATACCCCTCGTATCATGGGTCGAATGGCCGATGTGAAGACGGATGGCCATGTTGTTTGGGATCGTAAGCAATCTTCATTCGTCCTGGGGGGCTATACTAACCACGTAGTAGTCACTTCGCCAAGTTCTATGGATGAGAGGACCGATTATTTTTCTCTGGGAGATTCACTGCCTCCCTTTTCCCTGCTCACGTCGGATGAAGATCGCGAAAAGAAAGCAGAAGCCTTTAGTCCAGGCACGTACCATGTGGTGATGACACCAGACAGTTTCTCGTCGCTGCCAGAGTATGCAGACGACCCAAATGAGAAACCTAGATCCAAGGCTTCGAGTGACTGTAGGAGCTCGGTGGCCAATAGCCCTACCAGTGCAGCCAAGAGTGAATGCAGTGTGCGAGGCGACGATCCAAACGTGGTGATCTTGAAGACTTTTGAAGATGTCACCCGGCGCTCGCCCAATGGCAAACTGTCAAGAATTTCCCCAACCTCGGAGATCTCAGATCCATTCTGTGCTCTGTCGCTATCCCCGATCATGCCGTCCCTCCCTTCACCATCGGTGAAGCTGGAGAATATGACATTCTTGAACCTAGACCAACAAAGTCAAGATTCGACGCTCTTCTCCCATTTCCGTCATGTCGTGTGGAGGCAATTGTTCCCCCACGACCACAGACTGGATGACTCCTATGGATCTGATAGTCATTTCATGACACTCAGTGTGGATTTTCTCGAGCAGGAAGCCACGCATTTCCCTCCTGTGGGTATATCAAGCTCCAATGGTTAGATCGATTGTGCTAACATTGGTTAGCTCTCCCACGCTATGATGGCTATTTCAGCCCTTAGTCTCTCGCACAGCGGCACAGGTCACAATGTCGATGCGCTACAGTATTATCAGCAAGCTTTTCCATCACTCCAAGTCAGCCTACGGAACAACGATGACCTTGTCTCAGACGGGCTGTTCCTAACTCACTTTCTGCTACTCATTTACGAGGTAAGATGCTATCGCATGTGCCATCTTTGGGGCCTACTAACATTACCTAAGATCGCAGCTGCGGAGCCTCACGGCTCAAACCTCTGGTCCCATCACATCTCTCGCCTGCTTCACATCGCCTTCCTCCGTCGCTCCAAGTACGGCCAGGAGCCCTACCCCTTCATCCTATGGTGGGTATGCCACATTGACCTCTACGCCCTGCTCAGTGGAGCAGGGACCGGAGACTTTGTACGTGCCGTCATCGATCATCAGATGCTCCCTGGGTCGGAGTCCCTCCTCTACCCTACAGCTCCAGAAGGTTACAGTGTGATCTACTCTGATGAACACGACAGCTTGCCAGTTATCATGCGCCTTTACCATGACACATTCCGATTGGCCGCTCAGCTTGGGTTCTTGGCCACTCAACTTCGCCGCGATAAACAAAGCCAACCGTTTGCCGAGTTTGACCAGAGAGCCCAAGAGCTTGCCGACCTGCGTCAGGCCTTTGGGAGACTGTGGGAGGCATCCGATATTGCCTTTTTACATCAGCACCAAGACAATCTCCCACGACGGTCTCGGGAAATACTGCAGCAGGTCAGTTTCGCTTTTTCCAAAATCTCCCTTGTGCATTGAACTAACATATCCCTAGTCGGCAACACTCTACCATGTTTCTCAACTGTTCTCCTACAGCAGCATGTGGCCCGGGCAACGGGTTGAGTCTGAATTCTCGCCAGATGGAGACATTGATCACCATGCGACGGAGATCTTGCACCTCGCTGAGAAGACTACACACACCCGGCGAGCCGACCGCCATTTCCTGGTGTTCCCCTTGTTCCTGGCGGGCGCTACAGCATCTGCCAGTGGTCTCAAGATGATGGCGATGGAATTGATGACGAGTATGGAGGATGAGGAGGATGGCATGGGACGCAATGCGGCAACCACCCGAGCCATTCTTCAAATTGTGTATGAGCGACAGTTGGAGAGACTCATGCGAGTAGGTCACACATTTGATGTGGATTGGTCCGACTTAATGACCCAAGAAGGGCTTCAGATGGTGAATTTCGGATTTTGACGGAGTTCAAGGGCATTGGCGCATATGGTGGGCGTTGTATTTTGTTATATGTTTAGCACGATTGACGATTAAGTGTATGTATAGAAACGAAGAATCCATGGTCAAAGATCTCGGGCCGACCCCGACCCAGTAAACTATACAATTCGATATAGGTAAACTCGTCACTGTAGTTTGGCTATCCATCTTTACGTCGCTATATTGTCATTCTTAATACTATATAGAAAGACTACGTGTGTTACGAGTACTTTAGTATTGAATTTTGAACCCGCTCGAAAATAGCCGAATAGCTCCAGAAGGGTTAGAATTCAGCTGTTTTGATCAAGATTTTCCCCGGAACATACAAACAGGCGTTGTACAGGTTAGAGAGGAGTTGAAGATACTCATACTTCATAGGGCCGAGATACCAGGCCTCAAGGCAGCAACTTGTGACAATCTTCTCATCACCTGCGGGGTCAGCGTCTCGCCCAAACTTGGCGCCTACAGAAACCCTGAGATTTCCCCTGAATCTCTTCTCTTCTCTTTTCTTTTCTTTTTCCACAAGATGAAGGATTTGACTGTGTAATCTCCGATCCTCTGACCCCGCATTTACGCCTCATCAGCGCCTGCGATCTTCGTGCTTATCTCCGTAATTGACATATCCTGCAATTCGGTCTTCTGCAGCTTCTACCTATCCGCCATGAGTTCTGGCGGCAGCCGCGCCCTTCACCCCGAGGAGCTTTTCCTCAACGATTCCCCTGGCAGGCAAGAGTCGCCTGTCATCGGCCCTCTGCGCATCACCAAACGAGACTCGTCATCTCCAGCATCGGCAGCAGGATCCAGCCCCCCACCAAATGCCCCGCTGCCCTACCCTGATGATCGACCACGGCCCCAGATACGCACCGCGAGTCCAAATGAAAGATATCCCGACAATGTGAGATACGGGTCTCCGCCAGCTGGTTCTGGTTCAGTGAGCCCTAACGAATATCCCTCAGCTCTGCGTCCGCGGGACGGTCGTGAGCCTCGGGTGGCGACTCTGGCCGAGCGGCGTGGTGCTGCCCCTAAGCCGCTGCCCGAATCCCCTGGCCCGGATGCGCCAGACCGTGAGACCCTAGCAGCTAGGCCCTACCCCCGGCCGCCTGCTGGTCCTGCGCCTGGTCCCCCGGCAGAGACTTCTATAAATGCGAATCAATATGACTACCGTCAACAATACTACCCACCGCCTTCCCGGCAGAGCTCGGTGGCTAGACCCCCGTCCAGCCTGCAGCCCCCGCAAGGCTCGATCAATCGTATCAGTTCTACTGCCTCAACCTCGACAACCCGTGCCCAGCGGGGTTCTCCACCGCCACCAGAAACTCCCGTCGTTGGGCCTGGCCAGCAACCTGGGTCTGATATTGAGGCTCGCTATGCGGCTGCTGGCATCGCAGGTACAGGAACACTCGCGGGTATTCAATCGCACAATGCTGCAGCACAAAGACGAGCTGAGCAGTACTTTGGACAACAGCCGACTCTCCAACAACCTCCACAGCCTCGTCCATGGACTCCAACTGAGCAGCCGGGATCCCAACCCCATGGACCTCCTACTGTTTATCAAGGTGCAGAGGTTGTGAGCGAGGACAGTCATCCAGCTGCCGCTCATCCCGGCCAGTATAGCAGCCCTCCTCCCCAGTCACACCCGGGACAGTACAGCAGTCCACCCCCTCTGTCTCATCCGGGTCAATACAGCAGCCCTCCTCCTCAATCTCACCCAAGCCAATACAGTGGCTCGCCATCCCAGTCGCACCCGACGTCCGTGTTGCCGCAGCAGCAAGAGCCCCCAGAGAGACGTTCCAATGCCCTTGAGCATGATATGGACCGGATGCGCCTCAGTTCTTCGCCCCCTCCTGCGTACTCAAGTGTCTCTGGTCCCGCTGGTTCGAATGGGTACCCTAATGAAAAGCAGAGCGGGGCTGCAGCCGCCGCTGGAGCTGCATTGACGCACCCAGCTTTGGCGAATCAGCATCCGGCTCTTGCCAATGCGCCTTCACCTGCGCCGACACCCTCGACACAGGATCATCCCGCATTTGCACATGACCCAAGGCAGCAGCAGATGGGACAGTCCCCGCAAGCGAGTGATATGTCCGGCTTCCATCAACAGACAGTCCAAGTAACTTCTCCTGGCCCCGCAGGTCCAACCCCAGCATCTCCGCCGCCTCTTCCTGAAGGATGGATCGCCCACATGGACCCGAGCTCTGGGCAATATTATTATATCCACTTGCCTACGCAGTCAACTCAATGGGAGTTCCCGAAGGGACCTACACCACTGAACCTTAATGAGACACCCTTGTCTCCGGTTGGGAGTGTTTATAGCGCCCATCCGCTGGCTTCTCCAGGTCTTTCAGCTTTTGGGAAACCTCTTGCATCCCCCGGTGTACCATTGACTCCTGGTTTTGAGAGTTTGCAGTCTCCTATGCCTGGATTCTCAGGCCCCCCTCCCAGTAGCGGCATGGACCTCTACAAAACCACCCCTACAAACGGTGTCTACTTTGGTCCCTACCTGCGTTATACCAATATGGATCTCGAGCGAGGGGTCTGGTTGGGATCCATTCTTCTCGTAACGGATGCCGCACAGCCACCTACGATCCACATGCACCAGAGTGTGGATCTGTCTCCAAACCCACGGCAGCTCAAGGCAATCAACATTGCCGCACATCAGCGGTGGACATTCTACAAGTATGAGATTGACGTGCAGATGGACGATGCGGGCCCCGCAAAGTGGACTTATGCAATCACCTCGCACCTGGGCTGCACTCGCTACGAGTTCCTTGTCGCTGGCCGACATGAAACTAATTGGCGCTTCATTGCCACCTCTGGAAATGACTTCTCGCTGAATGTCAATGCCAATGAGCGTGCTCGCCTGGGTGGTGTTGGCTTTATGTGGAAAGATATCATGCAAAAGCACAGTGAGATTGGAGGATTCCATGCTCAACTATGCCTGGGTGGTCAGATCTATGCAGATCGCATGTGGAAGGAAATCCCATCTCTCAAGCAGTGGCTCACTCTCAGCGGCAAGGAAGCTAGAAAGAACGCACCTTGGACTGCAGCCAACCAACAAGATGTCTCCCATGCATACTTCCACTACTATACCAGCCACTTCGACCAGCCCTACATGAGAGAGTCTTTTGCGCAAATTCCCTACATCTGCCAAATTGACGACCATGATATGTAAGTCGGTCGTACCATGCCAAATGAATGTCACTAATGTAGTCACAGCTTTGATGGTTTTGGCTCTTATCCTGAGCACATGCAGTTCTCAAACATGTTCAAAAACATTGGCCGCGTTGGTATCGAGATGTATCTTCTCTTCCAGCACCATACAACTCTCGATATCCTCCGCAATGTCAACAACGACATGGACCTTTTCACCATCACTGGCACTGGCTGGCACTTTGTCAAGTATTTGGGTCCTGGCGTAGTTGTCGTCGGGCCCGATTGTCGCTCGGAACGAAACCCCCATCAGGTTATGGCCGGTCCCACGTACCAGGGTCTCTTCCCAAAGATTGCAATGCTACCTTCTAGCGTGCAGCATTGCCTCTGGATGGTTTCTGTACCGCTTATCTATCCTCGACTAGAGACTGCAGAGCATATCGCCCAGACTGTCGCTACAGGAAAGCGCGCTGTGACCGGTGCATACAATGTCCTCGGCAAGGTGACCAGCTCCGTGGCCGGTGTTGTAGGCGCGAAGGACTTTGTAGGATCAGGCTTCGACTCAGTGAAGAGAGCTGTGGGTAAATCTGGACTTATGGGTGGCATTCTAAGTCCCTTCGGCGAATTTGATCTCATGGACGAGTTGCGCGATCAGTGGACGCACGAATCAAAGGTTGGTTCCCGGTCATTATCTTCAAGTTATATGCTCTCTTGGACTAACACCATCCAGGATCTCGAACGGACTTACCTTATCCGCACCCTTCAGGGTATTGCACACCAAAAGTCCCTGCGTATGACCTTCCTCTCTGGTGCAGTGAACGTCTGTGGCGCCGGTCTCGTCCATGACCCTTCCCAGCCTTCAGACCACAAGACTATGTATCAACTTATTGCTTCTCCTGTCGTCAACACCCCTCCCCCATCCTATATCATTAAACTCCTGCACAGTCACAGCAAGCCACTGTATGTTCCGGCCAACGGCCATCGATCCTCGGCCCAACCGAGCGATACCAAGGAAGATATGATGGAAATCTTCCAGACAGATGTCAACGGTCAGGCCCGTGAGTATCGCAAGCTCATGGCCCGCCGTAATTATGTCGCTATCGTCGCCTATGATCCGGAATCTGTCAACCCTACTACATATGGCAACGTATCACAGGGCTCTAAGAGCAAGCTGAGTCTGGCGGCTGATTTCATGGTCCAGGGAGAAGGTGCCTATGGGAATGTGGTCAAATTCGGTCCTGTTATCGTGCCAAGTCTGGAGCAGGGTCGGTGATGACCATGTTGAGATATGAATATCCTTTGTTCTTCCTGCACAGCATTCTGTTCCCCTTTCCGCCTCATAGTCAAATTGGCTTCTGGCGCATCGGATATCCGCTTTCTTGTTTCATGCCTTTCTAGCCTTTTTGTTTCATGTGATAACGATACAAATTTGCATTGCTGTTTTAACATTAGACGTTGTTTTAGGCGAATCTGAACTGAGGACAGCTGAGTTACATTCCAAACAACTTGTTAGCCTCTAAATAACGGTCGCAACATACAAATTGGGGTATAAGTGAGTGTTTGAGAAAAGGCGACCTATGGATTGCGAGCGTTAGTTAATCAAAATTACCCATTAACCACTGGGGTCACCCCCAGGAACACATAGGCCAATCCTCCAGAAATAGTCACGATGGGCATAAAACAGCTCCCAGAGTCGATACTTTGCCGGAATAAGCGACCAATCCCACCGGATGAGAGACAGCCTGTCCTCAGAATGACCCATCTTACAGCTAGTAGTATCTTGGCCTTTCCACTGCCCAAGGACAACCTGCTCACCAGATTCAGAGGCATGATTTCCAAGAGGCATTCGACAATGATTCATGCTGGAGGTGGATAGGTCGACTGGGATGTTGATATCATGGTACATTCCCCGCAAAAGAGCAGGGGTTTCTGACCCAGCAATACACCTGGGATCGTAGTTACCCACACACGGGTGTACATCTCCTAGAGACGGGGGAAGACCGGATTTTGAAATGAAGATCTCGCCCGCATGGGGCTCATATCCCCACTCCTGTAACGGGAGAAGTGGAACTGGGTCATCGACATGAGTGATCCGACGAAAGCGATTCTTATCCTGAGATAAGCTCTTATTTGACCTGGTGGGTTGCAAGTCAAACTGTTCGTCGAAGAACTGTGCAAAGCCCCCATTCCCAAGCATCGGCTCACCAAATGTCGTTACTTGCGGGTCCCAGCCCTTCAAGCGCATCTCGAGGCCTGCTAGTGCGGCCACGGCACCTCCGAGCGAGTGGCCAACTAATGTCACTTCATAGTCAGGGTATTTTTGCATCGCTTCTGAGATGTGAGGCAGAATTATCGACCGGGTGTCAAGCCATGAAGTCATGAACCCAGCATGAACCGTGCAGTTCTCGCAACGCGATCCTGACGGTCTGAGTGATTGGGTGTCAGCTATTTTGTTATCATCACCGGTGTATGGAACGTAGGCTTGGGGGTATGCGGAGAGATCGATGATCGTGTTTGTTATTGAGTAGGTACCCCGGAATGCGATGACGATACGTTTCGGTGAAGGGGGGTGTGAGACTGCAATATATCCGCACGAGTCAGACAGGAGAACGCCGGTATTCCAGGTCTATCAAGGGTATATGTTAATCTTGATTTCCTTGCTTGCGGGCTCCTTGACAACTGTCAGGACTCACAGCCACCAGCTCCAAGTCTGGAAACTCGACACAGCGGCTCAAGCACTGAAATGGCTGCTGTACTCCAGAAGTTCCAACACAATAGGAGATGTCCACTAGGCGAGATAGCTCCTCGAGAGAGTTGAAAAGATCGCCGGAGACATGTTCAGTCTCGTTCTGAGCTGCGACAAGCCTCAGAAAACGTAGAACTAGAAGAAAGAAAATACTGTTCGCCATGGTAAAGCATGGTTGAGGTGTTGAAGACAGGAACAGAAGTCGTGTCATGTGGAGAACACCGGAATCCGGGGTAACCTCATTATGTCATCGCATCTTTTTGGTTTACATTATGTAAGGATTCAATTCCATGTGCTGGATGTTCTACTAGGAATTCAGTACTATATGCATGCTATTGTTGGAACACTGGCATAAGAGAGTGGATTGTCCAAATCATGCAGACCAAACCACGACACGACCGTCGACACCGCTTGCTATGACACTATTAGTATTTTGGATTGAAACCACACGGAGGATTTGCTTACTGCTAAAAGATTTGACAGCGCCGTTGACCTCCTCATGAACTCGGACGGTGTTCACGGTGTTCTGGTGGGTCGATTTGAGCTTGGTGTCCGCTTGTGTCTGGCCCTTGAGATCCATCTGTCGGAACATGTTCAAAGCAGATTCCTCGCGGGCACCCCCGGCATCACCTGCCTTGTTCTCCAGAGAGCCAGCAAGGTGCCATCCATTCTCATCACCGCGGAATCGGAACGGCTCACAGTCCTACATTCAACGTTTAGTAAAAGTAACACGGGACTGAAATAGAAGGACTTACATGGCCAGCTGCAATGATTTCAGTCTCGCCGTTCCAGATGAGGCTGTTCAAGGGCAGCAATCGGGTGGAAACGTTCAACATTGCCCGTGGAGGTTGCTCTGGTGCGCTGGGGTATACAACGGTTACGCTGCTGTCATGTCCGGTGAAGGCGAGGGCGTTGCCGCTGGGGGAGAATGCCACACCCTGAATCCATCCCGCTGAGTCGTTTAGGAATTCGCCACAGATTGTGTTGAAGGGTAGGCGCTCTCCCCAGGCACTGGGTTCCGGGCGACTATCAATGCCCTTGATGAAGCTCGAGAAGACTCGCGCATGAGAGTCGGTAGATCCAGCTGCTAACAGAACGGAATTCGGGTGCCATGCAAGGGTGGTAATAGTACTGCGAATAGGCTTCTTCAGGTGCTTCGAGATCCACCAATCATTCTCTTCCTCAAAGTAACAGACTGCAATCACTCGAGCGCCAGACCCGACGGCAAACTTCTGTTCCGAAGGAGACCAGCGCACGAAGGTAGCAGCACGGTTGATCCGCAGAAGTACCAAGGTGGGTTTCCAGCCGTCAGGGGTCTTTTCCCAAACGTAGGCGTTACGGTCTAATAGAGCGGCCATTATCCGTTAGTAAAGTACGGTCGAGAAGCATCTAATCAAAGCAGACCTTGCGAGCAAGTGACGATTCGACCGCTGTTGGGAGCAATATCAACACTGGTAACAGTCTTTTCGTGGCCCTTTAGTTCATCGCTCAACGCGAACTTGTTGCCTGACGACTGATATAGCTCCACATTGTTCTCTCGGGCGACAGCAAGTGTCTGCTTATCAGAAGAGAACGAGTGGTCTGCAATTGGTGCGTGAAAGAGATGGTGAGCCTGTGGAGCGGCCATATTGCACAACAAGTACGACAGGAGGAGCTCTCTACCGTCGAGTCGTGGATTGTGTACTTGCGGGATGCGGGAACGGGGAGGGGAGCGGATGCTGATGACGCCTGGGATTGGTTAGGTAATATTGTCACCTGACTAAAAGCTGCTTTTCAAAACCTCAACTGGCATTCCCTTGACACAGAACGCAATTGAGCTTCCTTCCCCACAAGAGACTCTATCTACCGCTTTTTGTGAGACTTGAGCCACTTCTGTCATCCTATCAAATTCAAAAATGGCTTCAAAAGCATTGCCTTCACGTGGAGGCCCTGACGGCAAGGCCGTCGCGACTGGTCCCCCAAACCAAACGTGAGCTTCCGTTCAAGATAATTGAGTGTCGCCTGGCTATAGGTACTAATGATCTATCAGACTCTACTGCACTAACCTGCCTGATAAGCTCCGCAAGCATGATCTCCGATCGTCACTTTACACCCTCTTCTCTACCTACGGCACTGTACTTGACGTTGTAGCCTTGAAGACCCCGAAAATGCGAGGCCAGGCCCATGTTGTTTTCAAGGATATTCAGGCTAGTACACAGGCACTACGGTCTTTGCAGGGATTTGACTTTTTCGGGAAACAAATGGTGTGTATCTTGTTCTGCTAACTTGTCCTGCTATCGTCGCAAAGCCCCTCACTAATTCGTTGTCTAGAAAATTGTCTATGCCAAAGGCCCATCACATGTCATTGCTAAGCTTCGCGGCACCTTTGTCGGAGTTACTACTGGGCCAGCCCCAGTCTCGACCGACCTGCAGAAGTCTATCTTCGGTGGGCCACCCGGTGCGCTCCCTCAGCGACCCCCGACCGATGCCAATGGCGAGGGACAGGGAGTGAAGCGAGCGCGTGAGGAGGAAAGTGATGAGGAAGCCCCAATGGATGAAGACAGCGATGTGCCCATGGAAGCTTCTTCGGACGAGGACTAAGTACCTCGGCATCAATTTTTTTGGCCAATGGCGGGGAGGGGGGGGGGGTGGGGGGGGGGGGGGGGCGCCCCTTCCCTTGAGGTTTCCTCGCTCTGCAATCGATTTCCTTTTCAGCACATGCACGATGGTCTGGTACCATTCAAGCGAAAAGCTCGCGTGGGACGTGCAGGTTCACGCAATGACCCACCAGACTGAGCCAGATGAGTAGGTATGACCCAGGAGTGACGCTCTGTGGGTCTGCAATATGCGCCATGGCATCGGCCGTGTTGCACGGGTGGACAAAAAATGCCGGGGCGCCAGAGTCTGGATGGTACTGCGCGAAGACGTGAGCTCTTGTCACGAGGTTGGAGCTTGCACCTACACCCATACTAATTCCACCCATGACACCTACACTCTTCAATTCTCGCCTGTACTGTTCTGGCACCACATATTGGTAGACGGCGTCGAGTCCAAGCGGACTGTGGTTGTGCCACCTCAGGCCGAAGTACAAGACGGGGACCTGATATGTGGGGGATAGCAGGATGTCATAATCTACCTGTAAACTGGGCTGGCTGATGCGAACAAGAGCTTCCTGCGGTGAAGGGTTAGGATTAAACATCCCTTAATGGGGCTGGTATCTGCAGACCGGATCGTCTTCCTGCTCCTCTGGATCATCTGTGGCTTGCATCGGTATCGGTACATTAATACATTGTGTGATCCTGAGGCCAGTCCCTGGCTATTCAGCGGAGTCAGTATGAGAACTCTCTTTCGTATCTAGTATCCAGTATCCAGTATCCAGTAATGTCGATGAAAAAGGATAAAGACTCGAAAGGGTGTTACCTTTGTGAGGAGTCGAATCGAGGCCGAAGTGCAGAGAGCTTGACATGCGTCCTCAAACTCGGACTGCGTTAGGAAAGGAAAGTGAGAGCACATCTGAATGCGGTGTGAAGGATGAAAGCAGAAAAGGCCGGATGTGGGAACAAAGCTGATTGTGGCGGGTACCTGGTACCTGAATGTTGGGTGGTATGATGCTAGGGATGAGATGTAGTGGGTACCTCTCCCCGCTTGCGGGAGTATTGTACCTTCTCTCTCTCTATCTTTCTTTGTTCTTTCTTCCTTGTTCCTTGTTCCTTGCTCTGCATGCAGAGACTGTGGATCACTTTATGGCGTTTTCGTCTTTCTTAGTTGCATGATGCCTTTCTTTTCTTATGTATCGCTTGTTTCCTCCCATCTCCCCCCTCCCCCAAAGCTGGCCCTAGTGGCATCCCTGTTCTATTTGATTTTCTTGTTTTTACTTTTCTGTTTTGCTGTAATCTTCAATGTATGTGAACATCCTCAAATCTTGCTTTTGTGAATACCCTGGGACCCTGTTGGACTCAGCGTAACCTCAATCCCACGACCTCCGTCTCTCCTGTCCAACTGATTCCTGGATATCACGCAATCTGAAACACGGGTCTGTCCCATATTTCCGGCCTCCTGTCGAGAAACCCGTTCAACTGCCAATCGCACACCCAATTGCAAACTCAGCGGGAGCACGAGCTTGAAGTTCGGATTGATTTGCGTCGTGGCTTGACGTCAACAGTCTGGGGATCTAATCTGGAGAGTGTATCTGTGCATATCTGAGCCAGGTCACCCCTCGTGCGGGGGGACAGTGCTTGTCACCAAAGCCCCTCGAAATTGTATATCATTCATTCACAGCCTGGAGCGGATTGTGGAACCCACTGGCTTCTGAATCATGGGCAACACTCAATCAGGCCCCCAAAATGAGACGCGCCGCTCCAACCGACTTTCAAAGCCTCTAACCAAGAAGTTCAACACCTTTCAAACTTCTCAACCCCTCCGGTCGAAGTCCAATTCATCGCAGGCCTCAGGGCTGATTGGGTGGCAAAATCCTTGGGTTGGATATAATATCTCCAATACACCCGTGGAAAAACGGATCTCTTATCCAAAGAAAGCCGAGATTCCTCCTACCTTGTTTGAGGCAGAGCCATCTGAGGAGAGCCCAACAGATGAATATGCCGCCTCCACAGATGATCAGGCTTCTGAGAAGCATCAAGATCGCGCAGGCCTTTTGACAACGGGTTCCAGAAGAGAATCGTATCAGCCTGGATCGCCAGATGCATTTTCCCCATTCTCGCCGGTATATGAACAGCCAAAAAGGGCCAATTCAATCCAGACTCCTCTTCAGAGGCAAAATAGTGCTGTCAATGAAAACAGAGATGCAACTTCTTCGAACACCCATTTCCTGGTTGGCAACCAGCGATTCTCATTGACGCGCCGACGATCACTCCTGACCCGACCTGGTGTTGCTACGAGACGCACAACGGGTGCAATCCGGCGCGTTCCATCGCCGATTGGAGAGCCTATCGACGATCCGAGCGAGTCGGCCGTTTTGCAGTGGCCCTTGCCCTCAACCCAGAGAATGCGTCTCCCATCGCCAGCGCGGCCGACGAGTCCAACTGATGCCCGATATACTCAACTCGGAGCTCTCAAGCTCGGATCTCTGAGGGTGGTCAATGGTTCAGCCTCTCCATGCCCCAGCGAGCGCGTTTCTTTGGATAGGCCTGGACTAGGACTTGAAAATATTGAAGTCGTGGGTCCTCTCAGAGGATCTACGCTGGAGATTCCCGCCTTATCCGATTTGAAGAAACCTGACGATGTTCCCGGCAGTCCTTTCTCATTCGAGAAGTCTCCCACTATCACCGTTCGTTCACGGAACAAGTCCTTGTTCCCTGGAGACCCAGATGATGAAGAAATCGCTCTCTGTGATGATACGAGGAACCATTTGGAGAAAAGTGCTTTGGATGGCCTTGCCCGAAGCACGTCCAGATCCCTCAACAAATCAGACAGTGGCTACAGCTCTGCCACATCCGTCCACTCTATGCAGCGAAGCCGGACTCGGGGATCCATTGATTCACAGACGTCTGGCTCATGTGGTGCGGACAGCTCAAAAAATGTGTGGATCTCCAATCTCCCGACTTCGAGTCGACCAGCCGATAGCATACAGCGTCACTTGAGCCTCGAGGAAAGGCCCGAGAATTACTCACGGCTGCTCCCAGCCTCTCATCGATGGTATGACTCAAGCAACCCGACTCCGGTCGTTCAAACGCGATCGCGTCGGTCGACGTTATGTGCACCCCGCTTCACGGAATATCCTTCGTCTTGTGGGACCAGACTCGAAGCAAAGCCCGCTGTGGAGTCTCCGTATCTGTCTATGCCCCATCACCAACAAGGCTTCACTCGGGGGCCTTTATATGGTGATCGATTGTCCGTGGACATGCTTGATGTCATATCTTCTACAGGCTCCTCAGCTAACGTGGAGAAAACCTTAAGTTACCAGAAGACGATCGCTGGAAATAAGGAACAACTCCGCAGGTCAGCCTCTGCTTATCACATCCACGAAAAGAACGATACCTTTGTTAGTCGGCGTTCTCGATCCAGAAGTCAGAAGGGCAGTCGTATCTGGAGCCTGAGGCCCGGTGTTGAAGCTCCCCCGCTGCCCACGATCCTGTCCCCGGGCGACTTGCAAAATAATATCGATGCCGATTTAGCTGCTTCTGAGCCAATCCGAGGCCGGCCTCGAAGCCGGAGCAACGACTACCGTCCCTGTCGGTTGACGAAATCGCGTCCTCAGTCCGATGTTCATATGACGACCTCTCCTTTTGCGCTTTATTGATTTACTTGGTTTTATTGTTTGGTTTTGGTTTATATTTTGGATTTACAAAAGTTCTGGAGTTGATATGTTTTGGAGTTTAGGGCAGGGGGCATAGATGTCTTAGGTATACCCTTTTGGAATTGGAACTGGAGCGAAAATCATACTTGGCGTTGCACAGGGGTTCCATGGCATTGTCGGTCTTTATGCGCTTGATTTATCTCGCAATGCTAACATTTTCTTGGCTGCTTAACATGTCGAATTAAGACGTAGCTTAATGCGTCCCCGAGATGCATGGTAGTCTCCGAAATACAATCTCACCCATTGAATTGACCGCATGGCCGTGGTAGGGCCATTGTGTAGATAGCTTGAATCAAGTAAGGGGGGTAATACTTCAATATGCATATCCGGCGTCGATGTAGCTTGGGCTCTTACAATAACAAGTGCTATAGTGCGGTGGTGAAAAACATATCAAACATATCTCAAATTAATACCAATGCTTAATGCTTATAGAACATGCAGTGCAAACGCCGCCCCAAGACCCAATGCAATCCTGCCTAACACTATTCCCCAGATCTTCGTATCACAGGATACGAATCTTCTTCGTCTTGGGAATAGTCTGTTTAGGCACAACAACTGACAAAATCCCGTTCTTCAAGCTCGCCCGAACAGAGTCCTGATCAATACGAGCAGTAAAGCAAAATGTGCGCTGGAAATCACCGGTAGAACGTTCCGAAGCCCAGAAATGGGCCGGGGAAGGCTGAGCTTTCCCATGAGATGAAACGGTGTCAGCCGTAGTAGCAATCGACTCTGCATCCTCATCCTCGACTGTAGGCTGGTGCCAGCCCGGAGATGGGCTGCGGCTTGGAGCCATGTCTTCATTGTTGTAGTAGTTGCGCTCGATGCGACCTTTGATGACGAGCGTGTGTGCATCGGTGAATTCGATCTCGATGTTGCTTTGGTCCACACCAGGGAGTTCGCCGTCTAGATGATAGCTGTCATCTAATTCCCGCACGTCAAATGCTGGTGCGAAGGTGGGTGGCTGAGGTTTCCGGCAACCCTCATAGTCATCGAGGAGTTGGAGGAGTGGCGAGAAGCCGGTGTGTGAAAAGAAAGCCATTTGGAGATTGGAGTTGGTTTGGTTTGATAACTTGGAGATTTTCTGGATGAATAGAATCAAAACTGGCAGGTTATCTTGCGTTTTATACAGGTGCCCATGTTCATTAACGTTGAATAGTAACTTATAGTTCCGGAATCATCCAGAACCCCGTGGCACGCTCTACAACCCGCCAGCAAAATCAAGAATCAACCACTGACAAATGCATTTTATATAAGGTTCTTACTGGGATTTGTAATTTATAAAAGTTTTAATGCAAGGGATTGGGTAAAGGCTTCAGAGTTCAGGCTGTATATAAGGATACCAGTGATAGCTTGGGCATCTAGGCCACTAATTGATATGTTAGATGTAACACGGCATTTCTATTTCATTACTATGTTACAAAAGCTCTGAGGAACCTCCACCGAAAGGTACTAGACATGCCCGTCAAAGCGTGTATTATCGCCTCGACATGGCATCTTGGGTGTATTCGGCCAGACCTCTGCTCAATGAGTCAACTAAGATGAGAAACGGACAGGAATACACGAGAATCACCGGAATCACGAGAAACATACGGAGTAGTCAAGTTTACGTCTTATCGGATGTTGCGGATTCCCGGAGAGGCATACATCTCGAGCTGTCGATGGCCTTTGCGCAGGAGATATTCCACAGCGCTAAAGTCCTTTTTATTCACCGAGAGATGCTTTTGGAACTCTGCCCTATAACCCGCGTTAGATGGGAGAATGCCGCCGGGAAAAGTGAAGCTTACCGGGCATGGGCTTTGAAGTTGGGCCTTGATTCCTGAAGAACGATCAGATGAGATACGGAGTGCGGTTGAAATATACCTACCGTAGGCTTCTTTCGAATCTCACGCAGACATTTTCGGTAAAGAGACAAGACATCTCTTTGAAGACCGGAGAGTCGAGCCATTTGCGAGGATGGAGAGGGAGGTCCGTTTTCCGGCGATCACCTTTCCCGACCCCCGAGATATTACATCAATTAACATTTCCCCCTCTCTCGCTCTCTTTCCAACCACAATGTCTACCTTTACAGTGAGTCTAGATTACATCTTAACGAGCTGTGCTAATTGGATTTAGCGTCTTGTTCGCTTCCTAGCCAAGGATGGCCAGATCTACTACGGCGATGCTCTTCTTCCATCTGGAGTGAGCGACATTGCCAAAGCCACCAAGGCAAGAGTCATTCAGGGTGATATATTCGGTCAGTACCGGGTCACCGACCAGGTTGCGGAGATCAAATTGCTTCTTGCGCCTTTGGCTCGTAAGGATATTGGAACAGTTCGCTGCCTGGGACTGAACTACGAGCAGCATGCCAAAGAGTCAAATCTGCCTATCCCCAAGTATCCAGTTCTATTCTTCAAGCCTCTTACTTCAATTTCTGCACCGGGAGATGATATCCTCATTCCCCGGATTGCCCAGGAAGGTGAGGGTCTGGATTACGAGTGTGAGTTGGTTATTATTATCGGGAAAGAGGCCAGCAATATACCCGAAGGCAAAGCCCTGGACTACGTTCTGGGTTATGCTGTTGGCAACGATGTTTCCCACCGAGATTGGCAGATCAAACGGGGTGGAGGGCAGTGGGGATTGGGCAAGGGCTTTGATGGATGGGCGCCCTTTGGCCCTGGAATTGTTTCTTCCAGTGCCATTGCGGATCCCAATGCTCTGCATATCTCCACCAAGTTGAATGGGCAGACAGTTCAATCCTCTTCAACAAAAGACATGATCTTTGGTGTGGCGAAGACGATAGCCTTCTTATCCCAGGGCACCACGCTGCTGCCCGGAGATCTCATCTTCACTGGAACGTAAGTAAACCCCACACCATGATTTGGATTATATTGATTGACTGTTTGATAGACCCCAAGGTGTCGGGATGGGCCGCAAGCCTGCTCTCTGGTTGAAAGATGGCGATCAAGTCGAGGTTTGCCTCGAGGGTGTGGGTTCTTGTACCAACCGCGTGGTGTTTGAGAAGCCTAGCTCTAAGCTATAAGCTTAGAGCTGTTTCGGAAGGCCCGGGGGCGTAATTCGAATATACGGATATATCTACCAGTATGGTTTTTTAAGTCATCACAGAACTCTTGGCTGACTGGGTACTGGACAAGTAATAAATCCGCGTGTATTCATGTAAATATCAAATCTAGACAGTCTGGGCGCCGTATCCCTTGATTCTCTCGGCAAACGCCCAGCTCTGGCCCTGGATCTGTTCATCCTCTTTCAGATCAATGCCATCTTTGGTGATCACCGCTATCGAATACTTGTCGAGACTTCGCGCATCACGGTAGAACAAGACCTTCAAGCACTCCTTTAGGGCCGCCACGGCATCCTCCTGACTAACTTCCTCAAGAGGTGTACCCTCCGGGAACTTGCGACGCAGAATCGGGACAGCCAGATGAGCTCCAAAGCCCGTAGCCAGGTGAGGGGCAGAGAATGTTGTTCCCAACAGATCCGCCGAACTGAGGAACGGTTCCCCTTCTCCATCAAAGCCTGCGACAAGGACATGGTTCCACAGCGGGTTGAACTCGGAGCGACGTTTGTAGAACACCTTGGCCAGGTATGTGTGCAGGTTCTTGGCGTTGAGCATATTGCCATGGGTTGAGTAGTTCTCTTTGATGTCCATCGATTCGAGCAGACGGTCGAGGTATTGCATGTCGGAAACGTCACCACCAAACCCAACCATGGCTTTGTCGCCAAACGAACGTAGACGCTTGACATCTGAGAAACGGGCCAGGGATCCGTAGGAAGCTGAATATCCAGAAAGCGTATAAAATTAGATGCTGCTGCAGAGATGGAAACAAACACTTCAATAGAAGATGCATACCCAGATTATCGGTAGCTAAAGCGACACCGCCATTGAACTTGACACCCACCACTGACGTTCCAGTCACTGCAGGAGATGAGGTGTGGGCCTTTGGACCCGAGGTCTGCAAATATGAATGATCGTAGGCACCGTAGACATCGTTTCTAGGCTATCAACATAATTAGCAGGAGAGCAGGGTCTAGGAGATTTGTGCCACCCACTCGGCCCCAGGCTTCAGGGAAGTGGTTCATGATGAGTGCGACGAAAAAAGAATTGCGGTAAGAGATTCGAGGGTGAAAGCAAAGTGTGGACAACAAGGACGACCAAGATGGATAGATAGTACAGGGCGATGACGGTGGAGAGCTACCAGCAGGCAGTCGAGCTGACGGAGAGCTACCAGCTGACTAAGATTCGCGCTCCCCGGAGCCCGCGCCATTGGAATCTTCTACTAACTACATGTGTATACCTATATAAGTTAGTAAGTTAACGTTAACTTTTACCTAGGTAGAAAAGGTATTACATATGAGTTATGCAACAGCCCTGTATATTACCCGAAGACATAATGAGAGATGTTCGTATTCGCTTGTTGTCTAAGCCTCTCCCCATGAACCGTGGATCATCATCACCGTTGCTTGCTCACATTGTCCTCAATGCTGAGAACATAAATACCGGTCTACTTTGCTTTCAAGTCAATTGTGCCAAACAATAATCATGTCTTCTTCAAGCCGAGCAGGGTCGGTTGCATCTCCTCCTCCCATCGAAACTTCCGGCCCTTCTCGCTCATACGATGTTTCTAAGTCTCTCTTTCACCGGCACTATGACATCAACTCCGCAGACGGAACACCGCTCTTCTACGCGGATATTTCGTTATTTACTCGCAACAAGCCTGACCTCACCCTCCATGCTGGTGCTAGCAGCCAAGCACCAATTGTGGCCGTATCCAATTTTCTGAAATTCTCTGGCGACTACAAACTAGGCCTTGGAGATCCCGACAATATGAGCAGCGTCCAGTGGGAGGACATGACTAAAGAGAATATCCAGAGTTCGAGATATCGCTTTGAAATGGCTGTTCCATATGAGCCAAGTCAAGCTACGGGGGCAAGACGGTCTTTTCTTTGGAAGAGAACACGCAGCGTTGGTGTTGATGGCTCGGCACCGTCCAAATGGACCACGCAAAATTATAAGCTATTGGATGAGCGCTCTGAGGAGGTGCTGGCCGTCTTTTCGGGGACAAAGAGACCGGGCAAATGTGGGAAAATCCAGATCAGAGTGGAATATGGTGAAGAATTTGATCGAATGGTCTTGATCTCTTGTTTGAGTTTATATGAGAAAGCAAGAAGGCGCAACCACCAAGGGGCGGCAGGTGGCGGCGGAGGGGGTTGAATGAGAGGAGGGTGCTGAGGCCATGCAGCACAGTGATGCGCATGTGACATGTCTTTAATGCCAACTGCCTCAGCACTACCCAGATTCCACGAGGGGATTAAGGGAAGTGTTGCTCGTATAATGTTCACGGTCCTTTCTCTACGAGCAAGCAGTGACAATATCGAGTCAATATAGACCAGTGTTTTCTCTCGAGGGACAGGAAAGCGTAGTCTTCCTTTGGGCAAGCAATACACTGTATCACTGGGCGTTGGAACCGTCGGGCTCGTTTTTTAACCCCATTCTCAGATCAGACCAAAATTCAAATGCCACAACTGGCAAACGGCTGGACAGGTTATATATGCATATATGTAGGAATAGTTGGGTTGGGGGATCATCAGAAGGTCATTGTTTTAAACCGGATTTGAGCCCGATGGACCTTCATTGCGACCAGGCCCTTGCGCAGAGCCAGAGACAAAACCTATAGAGCTTCGTTGGCCCGATGATTTTTTCTCTTCCATCTTTTGACGAAACTCTTGTTGGGTACTCAAAATTTCTTCCTTGAATCCCCATCTTGGTAGACCGGAAGGATCCCACATGTCAACCGGCAGCGAAGTGACATACTGCGATTGCTCATTGATCCCAGCATGATTCATCATCTTCATCAGCAGGCTAGGGTTCTTGAGTGATGAAGAGCTGGCAAGTTTCGAGTTGAAGTGTACACCCTGCTTCTTGAGCGAGAGGAAATGCTCGAATTTCGCATTTGCGGCTGCATCGGGAGATCCAGGGGGTGACGGTGGTATGTCTAGATTGGGAACCGGAGGAAGTGTGAGGTCTTGAATGAGTGCCCTTGAAGCCAGAAAGGGAGACGAGCGTCCAGTTGTTATGTGCGCGCTCCCCAAATCCGGTGCCCTGTCAATTGACTCAGGGCCAAGAACAGGCCCATCTGGGGCCAATTTTGTAGTATTGGTGGAAATATTTGGCATTGGCTTCTCATACGGTGACTCGACTGGACCTCGAAATGAAGTGAGTGTCAATGCCAGATATGTGGACTTGATCGCAACAAGCTTACCCTGGTCTGCTCGTGCTGTTCTAACTGAAGGCTCCTTGGTATGCTATTAGAGAAAATAAAGAGTGAACACAAGTAAAATTTAGTAATGATCATGGACCAGTCATACCTGGGGTTGAGATGAAGGTCCATTAAGCTCTACCTCATCTTCACTGCTGCTCTCGTATGCACCAAGACCAAGCATGGTGTTGCTGTGGGAGCTAGGGCACAAGTAACGAGGCCTGACGAGCAAATTGTGGGAGAAGAGATAGTGATATACTGCCTCACCAACTAGAATATGTATTAAACTGCCTGGGAACAAGATTTCGCACCCGTAGACGTTCGAGGCCGGGGAGCTTGAGGCTCTTACATAAGCGGAAGGCAGCTACCGCATCGCGTCAGACACCCAGACAGCTTCTTTGCTTCCAACCTTCTACGAACTGCTCCAACCGCGACTTTCTTTCCCAATAACCCCTTTATCCTTTCTCCGAATACTCTGGTGATACTTCTTTGATCAAGCATCCCCTCTGCCAAGATGACGTCGTTTATGGGTCACCAGTCTCGTGGTGAGATTATCGGATACTCCTTCTCTGAGCCAACAGCTGCTCCTGTCAAGCAACACTCCTTCTACCCGTATGAAATCAGTCGATGACACTTCGTTTGGACTTTGAATAACAGATATATACTAGTTACACTGACAATGGCGGTTCCACCCTGGGCATCACGGGCTCTGATTTTGCCATTCTCGCCGGCGATACCCGCTCCACATCTGGATACAATATCAATTCCCGCATGGTTCCCAAAGTCTTCAAGATTGGCGGTGATGACGAAACCGGTGAAGGTGCTCAGATTCTACTCTCCGTCGTTGGGTTTGCCGCGGACGGCAACGCCCTCAAGGAAAGGCTGGATACGATGGTGAGGATGTACAAGTATCAACACGGCAAGTCCATGTCGGTCGGAGCATGTGCGCAACGACTGTCGACAATTCTCTACGAGAAGCGGTTCTTCCCCTACTACGTGCATGCCATTTTGGCCGGTTTGGATGAGGAGGGCAAGGGAGCGTTGTACAGTTACGACCCGGTTGGCTCGTACGGAGAGAGCAGTGCCGTGCTGCTGGTGCAGCATCAAGCTTGATCATGCCGTTCCTGGACAACCAAGTCAATTTCAAGAACCAATACATCCCAGGAAGTGGGGAGGGACATGCACTGGAACCCAAAAAGGCTGAGCCTCTTCCCAAGGACACAGTCAAGCAGCTTGTACGGGACGCATTTACAAGTGCCGTCGAGAGACATATCGAGGTTGGTGATGGCTTGCAAATGATGATTATTACCCGGGAAGGAGTCGAGGAGGTGTACCACCCTTTGAAGAAGGATTAGAGTGCAAGAAATGATGACCACATGGCCTGCTATCAGGTGTTTAGGCTTTCTAACTACTTGAACACGAATATAATTGGAATGACTAGATTTTTTTGATGGAACTCATATTTTTGTATGTCATCATGCCTAGTATCATATAATCTCGAAAGAAAAGAAAACAAGTCGTAAACCCTCATGCTCCTGTATTAACGCCCACACCATGCCGGAAGAGATGAGATATCTCGTAAGATCAGAACCGTTCCTTCATGCGTGAGGCAACGGTTCGGAGGTTGCCGTATACCTTACCCTGTTTTTTGTTAGAATTCCCCATCATTCAACTTGTACGTTAGAAACTTACCGGAGGGCTACCCAGAATCAAGCTGACGATTGCTTCTCGGGCAATATGAATATTCTTGAATCCACCCAAGATATGGATCTTCTGATCGGCAAGTACCACTCGTGTCCGGCTGGCGTTTTCGATGGCAAATTTGGTCTTTCCATCCTTGCCTGCAATACGTCCAATGGCGCGACCGAGATGCTCTCCGTTGAGAGTCTTCACATCTTTGATTTCAAAAGTTTCAATGTATAGGTCGTCAAGTCGGAGAAGCGCAATCGCATCGTCAATGTCGAAGCCGAGAGTAAAGGCCTTGACGAAATCTGCGCCCTTCTGTAGAGCACCCACATCGTTGGTGAATTTTGAGGTTCGCAATTCCACCGCGCGGCTTTTGATGTTCATTCGCACTTGCAACTTCAGATGTTCCACAATGGGGGGCAAATTTTGGTCCAGTTCGCTTTGAGTGGTGTCATCCGATGAGGAGGAACAGGCACTTTTCGTGTCTCGATCCGATACGCAGTGGCGACGTCCTTGGCAGGAGTGAAGACAGGACGACCTTCCTCGTCGATTCGCATTTCACTGTCATCGGTAGACTCGACGACGGGGTTGATTGCATCAGTCGAAGCGTGTGCATCAATCAAGATCTCATCACCCTGGTCTATTGATTGTCAGCTGTGAAGAGGATGTCGGAGGTTGAATAAAAATACCATAAGAGACATTCTCGGGTTGAAACCCTGGAACTTCAGGCTGGCGAAGAGCTGTAGGTGCTGACATGGTGTGACTGAAGCAACTTTTTTGTTATCGCAAAATTTATCAGTCCCCTCGCCCGGAAAAATGAGTGTGGGCGGAGTGGAAATTTTTGATGCAAACAATACAAACCGCGGGCAATGATTTCATTTGGCTCTTCCAAGCTTCCCTTCCCGTCAACAAGTCTCTCGGTTTCTTGCGGGAGCTCAGTTTTCAAGCTCCTTGTTTTCACTACAGGATGTGAAGACAAGATATGTCTGCCAATCTGGGACGCCGGCTGTACGCCCACATCTGGGAAACAGCAAATCCATTCCTTGGCGTACGAATCAATCGCATTTCCGACACCTCTACAAGGAAACTTTTCGACTTCATTTCCAGTCGCCCCCGAATCTCGACACACCCACGGAATACGACCCATATTACCAAGAGATTCGCTTCCGGTGGATGCTTCGTTCTCGGTATCTCGCCCACTCCCACTGCAGCGGAAACTACTGCAGCACGCATCATCCCCTCTCATAAAATTGCCGCCCAATATGTTTGGAGTCGCAGCATACATACTTCCAATGATTCCCGGCGCGGTAAAGATATGTCTAAAGATACACAAGGACGAAATGACCATGATCTCCAAAGTGTCAGCTATAGCAAGGATACACCTACCGTCAAGGAAAAATATCATGACCCTCAACAGACAACATCCAATCGCCATTTGATGGATCGTTTACCTCATATGCCCCATCTGCACCGGCCGTCAAAAGAAGAGCTTTTGGCTGCAGCGACTGGGTTCTGGTCACGGTTAAAAGTACGATTCAAGTGGTTTTCTATACGAAGTGTGCGTCCGTTCAATTTGGATGAGATGACCGCCCTCTTTTCATGGGTCCTACTGGGTCACGTTGTCTGGGTTGTCGTGGGAACTACAACTTTCTTCTCACTGCTGATCCTCGCGATCAACACAGTTTTTGCCCAGGGTATGTCGTTTTCTCTAGCGTTTCGTGTTCAACCCTAATTTTGTCTTCTACAGAGACTCTAGCAGGATGGGTGGGCAACTATCTCACCAAATCCTCTGGGGTAAAAGTTGTCTTCGAGTCTGCAATCGTTCCCAAGTGGAGAAATGGAGTCATCACATTTAAGAATGTGTTTGTATCAAAGCGGCCGGGACAGGGCACTGGTCATGTCAGTAAAGGTTCGTCGAAGACTGCTGCAGCCGCAGCTGCAGCTCGAGGTGAAACTGGATCCGAAGATTCCCAGGTCGTATCCGATGAGGAGGAAGACACCAACTATACCCAATTCGACTTGTCGATCGAGACGGTTAATGTGACACTGTCATTCACCAAGTGGCTCAATGGGAAAGGTCCACTCCGTGATGTGGAGGTGAAAGGCATACGGGGTGTCATCGACCGCCGGCATGTTTACTGGCCAGAGGAAGACCTGGACCCCAAATCCTACCGACATGAGCATAATCCCGGTGACTTTGAGATTGACTCATTCAAAATGGATGACCTTCTTGTCACCATATATCAACCTGATAATTTTCGACCATTCTCTGTTAGCATTTTTTCTTGCGACCTACCCCAATTGCGGAAACAATGGCTCTTTTATGACTTCCTTTCTGCCAACATGATGTCCGGATCCTATGATAACTCTTTGTTCACGATCCATGCTCGTCAGAGTCATGGCTTTACAGGCACGAGGTTGGATGACGGAGCAGAGAGAGATGGCAAATCCAGCCCGTGGAAGAAGCACAACAGGATACGCGTCGACGGACTTAATGTTGACCATCTTAATCGCGGTGTTCAGGGGCCTTTTTCTTGGATTCACGAGGGAACCGTGGATATTGTAGCCGATATCATGTTCCCTGCAGAGAATAATGAGAGCTTGGCCAAGGTTATGGCCGATTTCTATGATCGGCTAGAGGCAACTGTGATCTCTAATCGTTATCCGGAGTCTCTGTCGTCAACATCTGGTCAGGAATCTGACAATGAGGACCGCCGTTTCCTTGTCATGGATTTGCGTGTGCATCTGAATAATGTTCGGGCCGTCGTGCCTATCTTCACCCGAGACCTTTCTTACATCAATAACGCCCTTATCCGGCCTATTGTTGCCTATATCAACTCGAAGCGAACATTCATCCCAATCAACTGCCGTCTGGTCAAGCGCGTTGGAGATTTCGATGGAAGCTGGACTATCTTTGACAGCAGTTTGATGGACGACCTTTCAGCTGCGGTGAGTGCTTCCCTTTTGATTCGTACAAGGTCAGTACTGATAAGTTCCCAGACCTACGATGCATTTGCCCGGGATGTTGTGGATGATCAAGCCCGGAAACGACGATTCAAAAAAGTTGGGTTTTGGTCACTTCAGTTGGCTGCCCAGGCAATTTTCATGGGTATGGCCGGTAACATCGCCTGATTGTAACAACAGGGATCATTTTATTTGATCGGCGTTCTTTGGGCTCTGTATTATCAACGTGTTAGCATTTGTAGGAGTCAGGGAATTCCATATATGCATCTCTCCTTAACTGCTGCCTGCGTTTTGAAACTGGTCTTGTGTCTAGGATACAGAGAGAATAATTGTTATGGTGGTCATATATACGGCATTAGACTGCATAATCTCGTCGCTCTCCCACCTTCCAGGCCTAGTAGGTATCATCACTTTGGGATTATATCTTTGTATCGCAAAGTGTAATAATCCTATTATGTGGAGTGTAACGGATAGCCCCGGAGTCCTATGTGTATTATAGCGATGATATTGTAAAATTGTACGCTTTGTCAGGTTGATACCTCTTCATTCGGGTAAGAACTTAAGAAAACAAAGAGGGTCAATGATAATTTATTGTAATAGACTTGAGGAATCAACATTACTCAAGGCCATCGGGAATCGGGGGGACTGAGCCTATAGACTTCCAGTAGGTATAATATATAAGTAGGGATATAAATTGCACTAGACTCTCTATCTTGACAAAACCATTATGTGTAATGGATGCTCCACCGAATCATTCATGCCATGGTCCTTGAGCCGTCCTCTAATGATATAGGGTTGTCTAAGCTACCTCCTCGTTGCCGTAGTGTTACGGAAAAACTAGCACCAATTAGTTGCGGCCTTAACAGGCTACCGAAAGCCAACTGATCTATTTATTATTAAGATCACGTGTAGCATTATATCCCTAGGTATTTAGGGAAGAGGTAAACTAGATTATATATAAACTACTCTTAAGTAGACATACTCACTAGAGACTATGAGACCTTGACATTTCCCGTGGGAGTGGGTCTAGCGGGACTAGACCCTTAATATGGATCCCTATAGGACTATAAATAATATAAACATTTGCTAATTTAAGAACTATATTAATTATACAGTTTAGAAGTTTAGAGCGGTTTTTTATAGTATTTCACTTATACTAGCGCTTTCTAAAGAAATAAGAGTTATAAGATTCAAATTAGGTAGGTGACAATTATATTATTATTATATAACTAACACGAAATAAAGTTATTATCCTCTTATCTTAGCTACTTCTAACCTCGATTTCTTAATACTATACATAGCTAGCTATATACTGTTTCCTATATTAATAGTAATAGGATCTTGTTATTATTATTAATATTTAATAGAGATATAATACTACTCTATCTTTTTTAAACGGCGTATTAACTTAGGATTTAAGTAATTAGTCGGGCATTATTAGTTAGCTCTTCTTTATTATTACTATATTAAAGGTTTCTAATAGGAGCTCTACCTCCCTTGGGGATTCTTATTAAACGCCTCTTACTCTTCCTAACTATAGACTCTATCTCTAAAATAATCTCGTCTTAGTTAATATCGAAGTTCGAGATATAATAAAATATTATAATGTCTTAAATAGTCGAGGATTAAAAGGAGCTACGTTAATAGTAGTATATATTATACGTAGAGTTAAAAGACGCTTAATACTAGCGCTTATTATAGAAATTAAGAAGATAGCTTATACTAGTCTAATAATGATTAGAAATTAATATTAATAAGAACGCTGATTGTTATAGGGCTTAATATCTTTCTATTATCTGATATTAAATGTTAGGCTAAATAAGCTTTAAAAACATTAAAAAAAAGTTTTATGCTAAGATTAAGTTAATTTATAAGCTTGTTTCTAAAACTAGCTTTCTAAGACTAAGTAGATTATGATCGATCTTTATTAAATAGAGTACCGATATAACTAGCTAGTTAACGTATTTAAAGCGAGGGTAGTAATATAGATTGTTAGTAGTTAATAAGATAGCGCTATAGAGATTCTTTATACTTTTAACAGAATTTATATTTATTATTCGTCTAGTCTTTCTCTAAGAAGTCTAGCTTATATTTTAATATAAGAATTATCCTAATCGCAAATATATAGCTATAACCTTACGTTTTCTTATTATAATAGATAGATACCTTTTCCTTTCTTATATAAAGGGCTTATAGTATTACTTTTAAACTACATTCTACCGTTTAAGCTAATGGATAAACTTCCTAAAATATTTAAATAGTACGTTATGTATCTTGAAGATATTATAGATTATAATGTCTTTAATCTTTAATATACCTATAATTTATTTATAGAATAGCTATATATTTTAGAGAAGGTAATCGATATATAGATATGTTTAAATCTAATAAATCGAGGCTAGCTATAATATAGTATTATTAAAGATTAATATAAAACGCTTTATTATTTTAATATAAGAAATATCGAGTCTAGTAGGTTCGTATATCTTAGGCTAGATTAAGCTTTAGTTTTCTATTTAAAGGTTAGGGAATATATTTTAGTGTTGACGGACTAGTATTGATAAAGATAGTAAGGCTATAAATCTATATAAAATATTATTAAATAATTATAAAAAGTAATTTGATTCAAACTTCCTTTTAAAAGCGTATATACGATTTCTTATTATTTTTAGATAGTACGGAGTAATTTATTTCACTCTTCTAAATACTAGCGGTTAGTAGTAATATCTTTAGCTCTACCTTTATTAGACCAAGAAGATCTAGGCTAAATTAAATAATATAGGGGAGATAAGGAATCCAG